TGCATCTCTCTCTCACAGCCCTTTTCTCTAACTCCTCTCTGAACTAGACGGTCTCTATCTTTTGTTTGTTTCTCCATATACAGAAGCCTCTCCAGGCCTTTAATCATTTAATGAACCATCCCCTGGGTCGCCTTCCACCTCTGCCACATCTTTTCTGAGATAAGGTGAGCGAGAAGGAGCTTCTGGATTTTCTAACTTCAAAAAGCCAGCACACTACCAGAAAAGCTTTGGGCTGTAAAAGGTCCTTTATATACAAGCAAATTACTTTTCAGTAAGTGACTTGAATCTCACTAGCACCACTAGAGAAAAATTGCTGTGCTTTAAAGACAACATTACGGGTCAGGAGATAAAAAGACAAAGCCAAGGAAATTCTGAGCTAAGGTCTTACACCTAAAATTTTAACTGGCCTTTCATTATATCCATTGCTAATACTGACAACCGTGAATCGGGCTCAAAGCCGTTTGGAGAGCCATTACAACAACTCTAAAGGGGAAAGCCGGCATGCAGGGGTAATGCACAACTGGGCTCGTTCGGGGGGGGGAAAGGCGGTGCATTATTTGGGGTTGGGGATAAGCCTTTCAGAACAGAACGTGGGCTGCCAAAGAAATAGGAGACGTCTCGGCATTGATCCCAATTGGTGCTGAGCATCTTCAGCTCCCACTCAAGCCACTGGGAGTGGTGGGTGCTCACCAACAGGCCCCTGGCTTGTGTGTTCATCTCAGACAGCACCAAAAAGCAAATGGAGCCACTGGGCGAGGTCAGGAGAGTGCATGGAATGCTGCAGGCCAAGTCCCCCCTGAAGCCACAGGAAGTGTTACCAGTCGGGATTGGGTCCAATGGGATATTATTAAACTAGTTTCTAAAACACCAACACATATTTAATTTCCCCCATCTGGTTCCACCCCGGAGGCAGAGGGAAGCATCCTCGGTGCCAGAGCACTGTGGAGGCAGATTATGCCTTTGTAAGGCCCGATGGCTCCTGGGATGAAAAGGTAGAGCTGGCACTCCCCCCAGCACTGCCTGGCTAGTGAGCTGGTAGGTGGGCCATGGTCATGCCTGCTTAGACACGCCTCTATCATCTCCCCCTCTAGTGCACCTGTGCAGAGCAACTGTAACCTGCCCCTTAGCATTCAATTCATACCCCCTTCACCCGGACTCATCCTGCTGTCCTTACTCAGGCAAACCTACCATTGACTAGTACATGTGCAGACACGGGCATTAGAGCCATAGAGCACAAATACAGGCTCTGTCTCTCCCTTTTGTGTGGTTTGTCATTCCATACAGGATTTATGTCTCTGACATCGGTTAATTACTTGCCATGTTTCCATCAATTTAATTCAAAGTCTGCGCCCTTCCCTCCCTTAATGAAATTAAACAGCATGTGCATACGTTCCCCAGTTCCTACTCAGAAATAGCACCCAAATATGCACATAAAACATGTTGGCATTAAACAGGCCCATTTGATACCCCAGGGCACATTCCACACTTGGTTCTTTGCAGGAAAAAATGAAGTTTTTTTCCCAGCCATTCTGATTTCCGCATTAGTCGGCTCTGCCGGGCACAGATTTATGGCGCTGGGAGTTCGCCACAAAAACCTCACCAAGACTCAAAAGTGGCTCTGTTGCAAACGTCCTTTCTTTACCTGCCTTTTGCACTTTTCTCTAGTGGCCAGACTTTGCACATGAGAAAAGCGCCGGTTTTACCTTGCTGCCGAACATTCAGACCCTACTCTGCTGTCCTTCCTCACCACAGTCAAGGGGAGTTTTCCCCGAGTAAGGCGTGCTGGATACACTGCTTCTTTCCACCTCCCCATCAGGAAGCAAGTGGTCAGTCATTCCTAGCATCATTTCACTGGCTTGGTGGCATCCATGTGATAGGTACTTTCTTTCCCCCAGGGTATGAGAGCTGAATTCAGCTCCCAGTTACTCCACCGACTTCAGTGGGGTTGTCTGGGATTCACAAAGGAGAATCTGGTCTTGTGTATTTGACATTCCAGCCATAGCTGCTCCATTTCCATAGCCTTTTAGAAGTATCCATTTCACATCGACCAAAGGGGACTCACTTCAGCAAAACCTATTTATATTGGCCCTAAAATGCAACAGCCACTTTACAGATACAGAGCAAGACCGGAGGACTGGCTCTGGTGAGCTCTCTCAGCAAACAACATACAAACAGGGGACTGAGAAAAAGGATGTGACATGTTTTCTTTAACCTTCACCCTTTTGATCCTTAGCCCTTAACTTTACTTTCCATGTTTAACCTGATGTATTATACAGCTTTAAATTATTGCTAAATTTCCTCTTTATTTGAAATAAAATATCCGCTCAATCAGATGCGCCTAGCAGACGAAGCAGCCCTTTCCACAGCACAGGGACGCTCCAGTGTATAGATGGATTGGAAAGTTTCACCTCTGCTTTAGCATAACAAAACTTTTCATTTAGATGTTTTCATCTATCTATTGGAGAAAAAAATAAGTTTAAAATAATGACTGTAATAAATGAAGGTAATTAATTGTAGTTTGTTCCTTTACTGTCTAGTCAGCTTAATTTTACCTTTTCATCTAATAATGAGAAAATAATTTTTGTGCTCTGAGGGTTAATGATATGTAACTGCAAGAGCTGCTAATTGCATGTTGCAAACTATTCATCAAAATCCCCATCTGCGCTACTTGATTATGTTTGCTAAATTATTGCTTTGAATTATCTTTCATAAAGCAACTTTTGTAATTAGCAGGGCTTTCGGTTTGCTCTTTTCTCTCTGCGCAAGGAGATTCAAACTTTGTCCATTTCAAGCTGTTGCCATTAAGCTACTGTCATGGACAGCTTTTTGTTATTCCGTGCCAGGGAAATAAACCGGCCTTTATCTAATCAGGATGGAAGACAAAAGCTGTTTTTATTCTCAGTGGGTACGATTTAGTCCCTTCTCCACCCCACAACTCCCCCTTCCCACTAAGAAACTGCATATAAAGGATACAGGCGCCTAAATGTATACGAGCTGCTTATGGTGACTGCAAAAACACAGGTTGTTACTTCAAAATGAGCTTTTTCTTTCCGTTTAAAAGAAAAAATAGGAGGGGGAGCCTCAACATTCATCCTGGGGGCTTTCTGGCTACTCCCCAGGACATATGATGGAGCACTGTATTCTCCCTTGTAAATATTCATGTTTAGTGAAATCTAAACCATAATAAAGACACCCCCAGCACCAGCCATTCTGGCTGAGTGGTTTGGTGGAGGGGGGCATCACTGGAATGGCCTAGAGGCGGGACTCTGCCACCTCCTGCCTACTGGAGGGGGGTTCTGAATAAGCAGAAGCAGTCGGGATCTGTGGGGATGGAATCCAGGCCACTGGAGCCATGATTACATAGATCCAGTGGTCAGAACCTGGAGCATGGGAGGGGAGAATTTCTTGCTGTGTAAAGCCAGAGTTCTCTGGATTTCAAGATTTCACCCCAGCTAATAAGCAAACAGGGGCAGATCGCCAGCTGTTACAAACCAGCACAGTTGTGTGGAGGTCCGTGGGGCTGTCCTGATTTACAGTGAAGAAGGATGCTGATCTCCACTTAACACACCTTTCGCCTTAAATGTTTATTCCTTATATGGGCTGAGGATGGGCCAAATGCTGTAGCCTTTACTCAGTCAAAACTCCCAGTGACCTCAGCAAGGGTTTTGACGCATGAAGGATTTGCTCCTACGTTTGCAAAGATCAGAGTCAACCGAACTGAAACGGGATGGAAAATTAGCAAATGTCACCTGTACAGCCACTTTGATCCTGATTTGCACGAGGTGAGTGAGGGCAGAATACAGCCCCACAAAGAGATGGAAATCAGCTCCTCCCTCAATTACTTGCCAAAAGCAGAGTTAATGGTCTGGAGTTTCTCCAACAGTGGCTGATAAAAGGCCCAATCTTGCATCCACTGTATTCAGTGAGAAAACTCGTACTGACTTCAGTGGGACAAGGACTGGGCCCAACACCCCTAACGCCGGACAGGCATCTTCCTATTCATCATTCAGAGGCAACTCCTCAAAACCCCCTGCAAAAACCTTCCTGGAAGAAACCGAATCAGTAAGGGGGATTCTAAAGAAAATGTGGAGTCGGGTGGCCAGACTCTGATCTGAGTTACACTGCCATAAATCCAGAGCCACTCCTCTTTAGGGGCATGCTGGGTCTCCCAAAGCACATAGCTCATCTCCTCCAAGCAGATCTAATGAAAGCTATTGGGAAAAACGCAGTATTTAAAAGACTGAAAATGTATTCCTATTGTTATCGCTCTCTTTTGTGTATTTATGCATAGTGCATTGGAATGAATCAATACCGGATTGCCCTATAAATAAATGAGCATATCAGTAAACTGAGTAATAAAATGAAGTGATGAGAAATATGGAAATCAGCCGCATTTGTGTAAATCCAGTTATTGTTTACTTTCATATTTTCTTATGCAGTTCCGGTGTTCCAAAGAGACAGATTTCAAGTAATGTAATGCTCAGCAGATGACAGATTCTAATGTGTTGCTGGTGGTGAGCGCTGAGTGCCTCCATCTCTCTAGGGGTTTCAATCTACGCACATTAGAAGAACACAGAAAGCAGCCCCCAGAAGAGCAATCATTTAAAACAACTGTTCTGAAGTGCGATATTTCTCCCACACTGCCCTCCCCTTTAGAAGGATTTAAATCTCGCCACATCAGACTGGTACCTGAGCTGGGAAAGTTCATTTGCACATGTAAAATACCCAAGATCTCTTGTGAGATGACTAGGTGGGGGGACACAGTACAAACTAGGAGCAATCAGTACCGGCAGGGGGTCAATGAAGGGATGAATTTGGCCTTAGTGAGCTCAGAGGAAGCGTATGAGAGCTGGAAGTGAGGAACATGCTGTGCAGTGATTGTGCAGTTTGGTCTTGGTATCTATCTGCTTTTTCTTATCCCCAGGGTCCATCTCAGTCTAATCTGGCTAATCGCAAACACCATCACGACAGAGTACCTCTTGCGAGTGACGGCTTCTTACCTCTGCTTGGAAGCTCTTTAAGACAGGAGCCACCATCTCTCTGATTTCCTGAAAGAGAGATCAGAGAGTTCACCAGAAGCAGATATCGTACGAGTTCTGCAGTGGTATTTGTATATATCTACAGATCCACACACACTGAACTACGGGCATGAGCAACTACCTGTCTCGTCTCTGAAGCTTTAGAGCTGGTGCCCTGGCTGGACTTAATCTTCTCAACGGCTACTCTTAACCTACCATAATCTAAAATCTGACAAAGGGTGAAGAGGTTTTTAATCCGTAGCATGTCTACATTGACTGAGTCTTTGCAAGAGGCCAGTCAAACAGCACTGATCTTTCTCCCCTCCCCCACTTTCTCTTTACAGGGGGTAGTGAAACCCCTCCCTCCCGTCCCCTGCCTACCAAGACACATTAGTCCTTTGCAGCATCCGTTTCCAATAAGTCTTTCGAAGTGCAGTGCGCCCCAGAGCTGCTGTGAATGGGTCCCCCGCCCTGCAAGAAGAACGTTCTTAGGGCCAAGCTCAGCAGGGGCCACATTCGTGATCCCGGAGTAGAAGGCAATAGGAGACATCCATGAGTATCTGAGAAGAGCATGTGTAATTCAGGAAGACACTGAACTATGTCAGTCCTCTTCAGGTGTTGATACTGCTCTACACCAGCTGCTCTTCTACCTACGTATGTTCACAAGGACACATCACTGTCTCAGGTCTCTGGATCCCTGTTTCCGCCTAGGCACGGCCAAGCTATGGAAGGGGAGGGCAATGCCTGTACGGGCTACTTCAGCCCTGAGGCTGCGGTAATGGCCAGATAGGGTCCTGCCCGCACACAGCTACCCAGCAGGGTATGTGGTTTGACCCTTTCTATGTCGTGAGGAATACAATTCATGGGAGCACAGCAGATTGTAAGCACACAACTCAGCTTAAACCAAAACACGGCTGCCAGATTAATGACAGCGTTTGGCGAGCAACCATTCTAACAAGGTGAGCACGGTCACCTCGTGCAGCGGCCCACCGAACAGCAGCCAGTGGGTCTCGGGCCAGTTCCGACTGATCTGAATTTCAGAGGGGCTGAGCACTGAAGTCAGTAGGAGCAGCACCTCTGAAAAGCCGGTCGCAGATCATCACAGCAGTACCTTACTGAGGGTGTCAGATGGGGAGCCAAGGTCTGACTGGGACATGGGGACTAAGGGACGTCTACAACCCGAGGTAACTTTACTCTTGCTAACTCAGTACCGGAGCAGCGAAGACACGACATTACAGGCTTCACGACGGGCTGGACAAGTCGCCTGGAGCCCTGGGTAATTGCTGATGTCTGTCCTGCCACGGCTTCACAGCTGCAGTACCAAGCTAGCTGGAGTAACACTAGCTCACGTACGTCGACATGAGCCGCCATCACTCCTTGTGACCTCAGGGCAGATACAGCCTAGGCTGCCCCCTTTTGCCCCTCAAGTTGGTTCCTTCACTTAAGGTGGAAGGCATGATGGGAAATGCTGCTACCTGGGGTTTTGCAGGCGAGGGAACACCCTTATCCAGCACCTTCCATCAGCTCTACGCTAACTTTATCCATTTCCTTTGAACAGCAGAAGCATCGGTGGCTATTTCTCAAGTGCAGCCGATGTGGGGAGATGGTCCGGGGCCTCGGCGGAAATGGGCATATGTCTGTCACCTCTGCGGGCCTGGGTTCAAATCCTGGCACGCGCCCCAAATGGAAATGCATTTGGTGACCTCCACTGAGGCTCATTGTGAAGCACTGCAGGAAGGGCAGACCCTACCAAGGGGAGGCCCACACTGGATAACGGGGGCATGGAGCCAAGACCAAGCAAGGGAAGAGCTGGGAAGTTGGGGGTTTATAAAGCTGATTCAAAGAGCATCTTACAGCCAGGATTCAATCCATGAAGGCAGACTCCCCTCTGAGGTGCCCATTTCTATCCAAGCTCAGAGAGGGCCTTGGAAGCTCACTCCAGCGGTCTCTTCCAAAGGACAATCCACCGCTGCAGAGCCCAGCCAGGTCCCCGGATATTGGCCCACATCCTGCTCTCACACCCATGTCAATCCAGAGTCACTCCATTGACTTTAATGGAGTTACTCCCATTCACATGGACGTGAAAGCAGAATCTGTATTATTCCCCAGAGCGAGGATATACACCTGTGGTAGGCTTTCTGCTCAGGGAGACACGGTTAACGCTCTCTGGGCCAGCTATCAACTAGTGTGCACACACAGAATGGAGACGCATCGGCAATTCTAAGCAGTGGAAGTTTGCACAGTGCATTCTTGCATCAGGTATGGCTCGTGGGCAGAGTCGTTAGAGCCGGATCCAGTTTTCACTGAATTTGACAGAAAGCTTTCAATTGACTTCGCTGGGATTTGGATCAGGCCCAAGGTTTCTCTCTTTCATTGGCACCCAATTCACCCACCGTTTTTAAACAAATGAACCCCCAAAGTACGCGACTCACATTATGGCCCACCCAGGGCCGGCTCTGGCTTTTTTGCCGGGGGGAGGGCGCCGGGGGGGAGGGCGGCCGGAGCCCCGGGGGGAGGGCGGCGAGCCCCGGCGGGGGCTCCGCTCTCCCCCCGGCGGCCGGGGGGGAGGGCGCTGGAGGGGAGGGCGGCCAGAGCCCTGGGAGGAGGGCGGCGAGTCTTGGCGGGGGCTCGGCTCTCCCCCCGGCGGCCAGAGCGCCGGGGGGAGGGCGGCGAGCCCGGCTGTGGCCCCGCTCTCCCCGGCGGCCGGAGCGCTGCGCCGCCCCCCTCCAGGTGCCGCCCCAAGCACCAGCTTGGTTGCCTGGTGCCTGGAGCAGGCCCTGGGCCCACCAGGGCCTTTGCTGAAAAAGAAAACTGACAGGATTTAACAGAGCAGAGAGCACCAATCTCCCACTGGAATTAACAGGAAGGAAACTTTATAGCTGCTGCTCCCATCTACACTGGCCACCCTTCACTTTTGCCCAGCTGACCCTTTAAATCGGAATCAGCATTGAATCAATGGCTGCTGGAGCTGCCGACTTGCACACCAGATAGAACACGGAGGTTCTGTCCCCTTGTGCTGGTTAACGATCCCCTTGCACTGTTTCCACCAGATTAGAAGTGTTAACCATGGTGACGGGCCAAAGTACATACAATCATTACATCCTGATCACCTTCACTTCCTTTTTCGTTTTCAGTTGAGTACGTTTACTGTTAGAGAGGGCTGTCAAACAGTCACCACCCCAGGTGTGGCTGCATTTCAGAGGTTGGTGAAGTGTGTTCCCTGTGTCAAATTTCTATACACGGTTTAAGATCTTTAAATGCTAAGCTGTAGCGAGAGAAAACGCTGGTTATCATTTAAGTGCATGCAAAATCCATTTAATAGACATCACAAACATATGAACAATGGGAAGACCAACGAGGGAGCAGGGTTTCTAGACAAGAAGGAGATTCATGGAAGGAGATTTTAGGCTCGATATCAGGAAAATTTACTATGTGTCATCCCCATTAGCAGGAGGAAAGCCCATTCCTGGGGCAGTTAGACTGAGATTGTCAAACGTGTCTGAGGGAGGGAGTTAGGCATCCAAAGGCCATTGAAATTCCCTTTGGCCCAGCCTTAAATCTTATTGGACAGAACACCCGAAAACTGACAGGAGGAAACTGAGAATGGATCAGACAGGACCATAAAGGCCCTTGCCCCTCTCTCTAATTTCTCTGAGCCCCTTTAATATAATAATATACCTATCTCATAGAACTGGAAGCGACCCTGAAGGGTCATCAAGTCTAGCCCCCTGCCTTCACTAGCAGGACCAAATACTGATTTTGCCCCAGATCCCTAAGTGGCCCCCTCAAGGATTGAACTCACAACCCTGGGTTTAGCAGTCCAATGGTCAAACCACTGAGCTATCCCTCCCCCTTTTCTGCCAGCCTTACTCCACGAAGGAGAACATCACACCTCATGCTGTGGTCCCACTGGAAGCAATAGGGCTACTCATGGAGAAAGGTGTTCTGCTAGCCTCAGGCCCTCTGAATCTCATGAACAAAGGAGTAGATTCTCAAAGGGGCATGCCCCCCTTGCAGTGACTCTCAGTGGGTGCTGGGTACCTACCTGCCTGGTGGGCCTTTGAAAATCTCCCCTTACGGTTTTGTTTTTACGGGCAGGAAAGAAAATAGCATCTGAAACTGGAGGGGGAAAAAAATCCTAACAGTCAAACTGACTAAAATAAAATGTATTTTAGAAAAAAATAAAAATGTGCCTACCCCATCTGGGCTGAGAGCTGCATGCCAGGATCTCAGCTCCGAACGCTTAACACTTGCTTTTTATAAACCCAAAGTTCTGTTAATGGAAATGCTTTCGGGCCCAATTCTGAGCGGTGCTGCAAAGCACTGAGCTCCCCTCAACACTGATCGAGGGGGAGCAGAACCTGTTCAGCATCTCCCAGGATCAGCCCCTTTAAATACAATGGAGCCATCAGAGGCGGCAAGAATAAGCAATAAAGAAAACCCAAAGGTTAGAGACTATAATTTGTCTTTGTGGCTAATTAGCTTCCTTTCTTGTTAGTCACTTATGTCTACGGTTTTCAAAATCTAGTTTGAACAGAGGAAAATATGCCGTCCTACTGAGTTAATTCTATAACAGCAAATATACTGTACCTCAGGTACATTTTTCTTAAATTCCCGGCTGAGTTCAATTAAATGTTTATGAGAATGTTCACTCTCTTCCTGCCGAGCAGCCAGTTCGGAAGCAACAGAATTAAGCTCCTTCTGGAACAAAACAAAACAAAAACAAAAACAAAAAAAAAGAAAGAAAGAAAGAAAGAAAAGATGTTTTTGATGCATTTTTTTTAAACTGTACACATCATTCTCCCAAGCATTTCATTTTCCTCCCTTACAAAGCCAAGACCTGCAGTATCGACAAGGAGGTTGCATGAATAATTGAAGAAACTATGTATTCAATGCAAAATAAAAGAAAAGAAAAGAAAAGAAAAAGCGAGATAATCAAGAAGCTCGGCTCATCCGTATTCTCCTCCCCCCACCCTTTCACTCCCAAAAGGAACAGGGACATAAGCTCCACAGTAACTGCAAAAAAAACATCACCGTGGTAGTGTCAAAATAGTAAAGTGCAGCATATTGGATTGCCAGATTTTATTCTAAGCCCGCTTCGTTGCCAGATTCCATATATCAGCAGAGAGGGAAGAAGTCCAACTATGACTTACTTACGCTTAAGTGTTCATAAATATGCCTTTTAAGATATATATGGCTTTTTAATTTCAGCAGAATTTGGAAAAATGAAGGTGCCGATATTAAGTAAACTGACCTTTTGGGTATCCCGCAGTAAATCATGCACAGTTGACTTCAAGTGCAGGGAAATGTTTCATTAAAGAATTATGGATTCAGATCAAGCTGGTTTTGAAGAACACTAACCTGCGTGTGTGAAACCGCAATCAGATGCAGGATTTAAAATGGCATTTTTAAAAAAAAATCACCCTCCAAGCCAACAGATCTAGGCTGGGGGAGAAGGGGATAATGCACTATGCATAGCCACATTTGTTAGGCATGTATTTTTCATTGCACTCTTCCTTCTCTTCTTGACTTTAGTGTTTGCAAATTTCACAAGGGGAGCGCGTGGCCCCATTAGCAGTCATGGAATTAATTTGCATAATTCAGGCCCTAGTCTGCCGGTGTGCTCTGCTGTCTGTTTGCATCAAAGGGGGGTGGTCCCCTGGCTGGCACGTCAGGCTGTGGTATAGCATACTCTGCCTGGGACTCCGGGAGCACCGATCAAATCTTACTTTGTCAAGACGCAGCGCCGTAACTGACATACGCGTTCACACTTATTACAAACACGCAAGTACTGGCTGGAAATACTTCTGGAGGAAAGTCATATATATGGGGGCTAAAGGAATTAGTGGGAGTAGCCGTCACATTGATAGTCATTTATACCCGTATAACCGGCATGCACAGCTCAATGCTTCCAATTGGAAAGGCCGGCCTCTAGATAATGCAACATGGTGACGATGATGTAGAAATAACACGGTGCACTTACCACCCAGATCCCAAAGCGCTTTACAGAACTGGGGAACTAGCATTATCCCATTTCGACAACTAAGTGTCTTGTCCCAGAGCAATTCAGTGGCAGATCCAGGCAGAGAACCCAGATTGTCCATCATTCTGTCCCAAGCTCTAACCACTACATCTCACTTCCTCTCTTCCAGTATTTCTCCCCCCACCCCCAAATCATAAAATACACAGTAATTATCTGACTCCTATCAGGGGAGACCAGTAAAAATTTATACCAGTGCCATAAAACTCGGCAAAACGTAGAGGCCTTTGTCTGATTCAGGAATACAGTAAGAGTATATATTCCAGCCATCAAAACCTCATTAGAATTTATCTGTTAACACAGATTCTAATTACCACCCTTCAGTCTAAGGGAAGAGACACAAACCGTAAAATGTAAAAGGGGAAAGATTCTATTAATTGCTTTTTGATAAATCGGAGGCTGAAGCGCTGGTGTCAGAGGGTCAGAACGTATCCGCGTTAGTCTCAGATTGTTCCTCCATCTCCCAGCGCGGTTTTAAACTGTATCAGCATTCGGCCCCGTACATGTATCAAATTCTGGCCAAGGCTGGGCTTCCCTGGATAAGGCCAGAATTCAGACAAGAGACCACTCAGTAAGCAGCCAATTCTATCACAAGGAGAACCCCTCTGCCAGCCTGAATCTGCAGCACGGTCACCTCCCCCACAGCCCCCATCTGATCGTATGGGGGACGCGCTTACACAAACCCTGTCATTTGTGCCAACCCTTCCATTTCGATAGGCTCCTCTGATTAATGGCACATCAGACACAGACATGCGGGAGCCTCCGAGCAGCCCGTTCTGAATAATAAACATCCCACTTTCCACTAACACAACAGCGTCCACGGGGTCAGACAGGCGACGTCCTCAAGCCACATGCCAACAAGCGGACAACTTGGGAAGGGATTTTAGTCACCGAGAACGGACACCCACAACGACCGCGACACCTGCTAGGGAGCCCAGCAAGCAGAGCTGAAACTACAAGCTCCGTCCTGCTCTTCTTCACCTCAACAGGAGCTTTTGCCACTGACTTCTGACCGGGGCAGGGGCCGTAGAGACATGCCCATGACTTCAGTTCCGAAAAGCACTGATCCAACATGGAAACTTGGCTCCAAGCCCCACCTGAACTCAACCCTTTAAGGGGTTAGAAAAAAATCCCATGAACTTTTTATTCATTCCATATTTTATTTATACACCCATTTCACATGCACGCACAAGCACACGTAATATGCAGCGCAGCCCCACACCGCCTGTCCAGGTTGGTGAGAGAAGCAACGAGATAACGATCGACTGGTATATCCTCCCACAACGGGACCAGGAAGTACCAGAAATCTCATGAGGAAACCTGCTGCCACAGCATTTCCATCCTGACATAGGGCTGAAAACGCCCCAGGTAAGTACTGATATGAAGCACCAGAGGCCGGACTGCTGCACTCCTTGAACCCCGAGATGGGAGGCCATTTTAACCTAACATTTTAAGGAGGGTGTCTGGTCTAGCAGCTAGAGCTAGGAATGAGGAGTTGGGCCTCCTGTTTGTATCCCCACCTCCGCCAGTGATTCGCTGGGGTCTTGGGCAGGAGACTAACCTCTGGGCCTCAGCTACTCAATCTGTGAAATGGGGTGAATAACAGAACCATACAAATGTAGGGCTGGAAGGGACACTAAGTGGTCAACGAGTTCAGCTCCTTGCGCTGAGGCAGGACCAAGGAAATAGAGACCAACCCTGACAGGTGTTCGCCCAACCTGTTCTTAAAGCCTCCAGTGACGGAGATTCCAAGCCTGTTCCAGAGCTTAACTCTCCTTATAGTTAGAACGTTTCCCCTAAGATCTAACCTAAATCTCCCTTGCTGTAGATTAAGCTCATCACTTCTTGTCTGGCCTTCAGTGGACATGGAGAGCAACTGATCACCATGGTCCTCTTTACAACAGCCCTTCACAGATGTGAAAACTTCTCAATAGTTACCTGCCCTGTAGGGGATGTGATGCGCAGTTGACTCACTCAGCATTCACCCAGTCAAAGAGAAGCAGGGCAGGGCAGGGTTCTCACAGTGATTGCTCCGATATGCTTCTCTGACTCTTAACTGGCTCTTTGGGCTTAGGCAGTGCAGGACTTTCCTGAGCACGGCAGGTCTCCAACGTTAAACAGTAACGAGTCAGGCCACCAAACATCATGTGTCTGACGTTCCCCTGGGAACGTCTCCAACACAGTTCTGCGCCGGGGACAGCATACAGCCATTACGTCAACCGTCCCTGGAGACGAATCTGCCAGAGCTAGCGGGAAGGGGCCACCGCGCCAGGAGGAATTAGGCCCAGAGTGCCAGAGATCACACAGCACAAGCTGGGAAGAGAACCCAGGACGCAAACTCAGCTCACTTACCCCAGTGTAAATGCAGAGCCACTCCCCAATGTCAGTGGGGTCGTTCCCAATTCCAACGTCACCGAGAGCAGCGTGTGGCCCTGAATCGCCCTCCTCAAAGCCTCTCCTTGTTCCTGCATGTGGCACAGGGACCGGATCCGTCCACAGGAGACAGAGAGGGAAATGGCTGGCTGTGCTGGCGTGACTGCAGCGGGAAGGGGACACAGAGGAAGAGGGCCTGCCAGGTTTGTGAAGCAGGGCAGAACAAGACAGATTGCCGTGTACAAGACGGATTGCGGTGCACACGGGCGCACGGTAGATGGGATGTTAGACAGGCCGGGTTACAGAAGCTATCAATCATTTCCTACATATTATGTAAATTTCTGATGCTAAAGATGTATGGAGTCAATTATCAGGGGTCACTGCTGGGTGTGAAATTCATACAATGAAGCTCTCTTGGTCTCAAATGAATTTGAGAGAGATTGCAAGCTTACTGCCTTTTATTGGACAATATAAATATTTCACTGTTATATAAAAAATATTGGAGAGAAAGCAGATAAAACTAAATCCTGTGTGTATACAGAGAAACAGGGAGTGAAAAATGGCAGTCAGCATCTTTTTAACTGCCTTTTGGTGCGTTACAGGAATACTGGTTGTGAAGCAGGGTTTATTATTGGTTTCAGGATGGTACAGTAGCAGCCTGTGTTTCTAACACACGGAAAGACCTCGGTTTGGATAGCAACCAGAGAGATCCGAGCTCTCGTTCTCATTTACACCAGAGGAAATCGAGAGCAACGGGCATCGGCGTAACAGCTGTGCCAATGCATGGAAGCTGAGCCAGAGAGCGACAAGCTCCTGTGTTTAATTTTGAGCCGCTTTGTTGCGTGTCTTGTTCTAACTGTCACTTTCTGGCCATGACAGAGATCAAAGAGTGAAATGATGAAATGTACATGGAAACCCATTTCTCGCAGCCTTGTCCAGGGCTTTCCGTGACATACAGTACTTAGTCAAAGGCTTCGATGTAATCATTAGCCAATAAATCACAGCCACGGTTGTTTCTTGTACTCCCTTGTTTAATAACTTAATAAAAGCTAAAGAACAGTAAATACAGTACTAGCCTCCTAACACAAGCACTGCCTGGTGGGTTTGGTTTTGTACACAGTAACATTTCCAAACAGTTTAGGAAGAAGATTATAAATAAGAACAGAACAGCCAGACAGGCCCTGAGATAAAAAACCTGGGACAGTCCAGAGCCAAACCTAAACGCTTCAGCCAGAATCCTTCTGTTTGCTGGCTGTCAAAGTGACCTCTCAGATCGGGGTACCGGCAT